TGCATCGTACACTGTTAGCAAGTGCCGTGTATTTGGTGAATATTTGGGGTGAAAAACACGCTATTTCCACAAATTACCATAAATTTACACGATGAGTAACGGATAATACGTTCAGATATCATGCGAGGTTGTAAAAAACGTGTTTTGGTTCGGTCATACACGCATAACCGTGTAGCCGACCTCGATAACACGCATCGCCTCCGGCGACGACCGCGACATTGTCGGCTATCGAAGCACCGGAATGCTTGGGGACACACTTAGAAAGGACCGTCGAGACAAATGCCGCGGAAAGAAACATGTCTCGGAAACAGATATGCACCAAAAGCAAGTACGCCATGTCGCGGGACGTTGGCGAAACCCGCGCTTACCGTGGCTCGCCGCCATTTTCTGGTCGATGGCAATGCGGCTTCCCTCATGTCGCCCATGTTTGCATTTAGTTTAGAGCTCTTGATAATAGTTTCTTACACACCACAAATAAAGTCATGGGTCCAATTATTCGTTCAAAACAGTTAAAATAAATATAAAAAGCGTGTCTTCGATGTGAACACGTGACATTGCAGTTGGTTTCGTTTTTGCTTCAACCTTCCTTCAACTGCTTCAACTGCAAGCGATCTGGCCGATCTGGCCATGGTGCAAGCGCAACGTCGATGTACGGTGGAAGCAAGAGCCGGTTGGCTTTCGTTCTTTTTGTTTGACCGGAGAAATTTCTGGCAGCCGCTATTGTTTTGGTTTGACGGGACGCGAGAAGCTTCGCATAGAGCTTCGCAGTTTGCGAGCACATAGTGAAGACGTGACCGGAGAAGTGCCCCTGTGATGTTCCCGGAAGACGGAAAGTACCATTCGTCGTGTGTGCTTTGAAAGCGAGGGGAGTCACAGGGTCCACGAGTGCGCAACCACAAGCCAAGGTTCACGACAGCGCTGCGTTCTTCGGCGTTCTCGTTCTGTTTGGGGCAACACGGCGATGCGAGAAAGGGCCGAAACGTTCGTGGTGTGTGGTGCGGTGCTTGTAGGTAGAAACCCGCACTAACGCGGAGCTCATATTGGTTGTTGTGGGGTTGCGTTTGACGGGTTTAGCCCCGTCGTCGTCAGCTGATCCGGTCCAGCTGGTCGGGGAGGACGCAGCGAGCGTTCTTAAAAGTAAATCTTCCTTCGTTCCGTTTCAAAATGTGGAAGATTCCCGACGCATACCGTGAGTAAAATGCTGCGGACCTTTTCAACAAAATTACGTCGTTTTAATTGAACAAGGGACTTCGGATAGTTTCCCTAAATCTGCCGTTTCTATGCTTCGTGTCGTTAGACTGCATTTGCACAGCGACGTGTTCGCACAGCGACGCACACCGCTCGAGTAGATGATTCGGTCCCGCAAATGACCGGTTATACAGAATTTCAGGGAAACTTAAGTCACCACCGATGTTTTCCTGTAAATCTCGTGTGACTCGTGTGAGTTTGTTGCGCTCATCATGCGGTGTGAATAAACTAGGGCAAGATTTTCTACCTGCCCACAGATGCATGAACTGAGACCAATTTTTTACGTAGAGAACATAGTGGTTTTTCTTTACATTGGGAAGAGGCCCGAATTTGTCTCTTTTCCCTCTGGCACTGCCCCAAGTTTCAAGTTGCAGTTTGAGTAGACATACCTACTAACAGGTACAAACTGCTCTAAAGCAGGTAAAAGACTGGGAAGTCAGGACGGTGCGGACACCGTGTTTTGCGCTTCTCGCAAGGTGACTGATGCTTTTGCGAGGTATGCGGAATATGCAAACGATTTTGTTATGCCCTTCGTTTGCGTCTCCAGAAAAAAGAATAAGATTATTTACAAATTTAGGCGCAATCACAAGCCAAGATTTACGATAACAGTGCGTTCGCTTCGGTGGTCCGTGTAGTGGTATTATACGCTGCTTTCTGCAACACCGCGTCATGACGAAGAGCTGGAACGGTTACGGTATGTGCTGGCCTCCCGATTGACAGAAACCCGCATCGCCCGCATCGGCACCGAGTGCACTTGGGCTGTTGATGCTCGAGCCTTTCATACGCGGCTTGTCGCCAGCTGATCCTGCTGCTCGACGGTGAGGAAGCGGCGAGTGTGACCTCTGAAGTAAATGTAAATCCTCGTTCATCCAGTTATCCAGTGTCAAAGTGTGGAAGATGTCCAACGTGTACTGAGGGCGGGAACTACGAGCGTTTTGCCTTGCTTTTATAACCGAAACCAGAGCAGCGAGATAATTGCCTTGCGTACTCCAAAATGACGCAAGCAATAAGTTTCAACAGGTCGAGTACGTCACCGCGGATGTAGGCGAGACTGTGCACTGTTTAAACGCTTGCAGTATCCACGAGTGCTACCAGAAAAACGACGTCAACAGAGAAGGAGCTCGCGATTTTAGCATAATGCAGTGCCACGGGCTCGTGAATTTTCAATGTGGCTATATAGAAATATTAAAAAAAAAAAAAAAAAACGCATCAGCGCCACATTAATGATCACGAATAACACCGGTCACAAACTCCCAAGCCTCACCGCTTCGCTCGACACCAACACGACATACGACAACAATCTGCATCAAAACGCCCCAAACGTGAAGGCGTCTGCTCCCGTACGCGTACTACAACTAGCGGAAGTGAAGTGTTGGGCGGATGTCCTTCACAATAATATATATAAAAAATGCCTTGCGCAAGTATAATTTCCATTGATAATTGAATACGTACTGATAAAATCCCAATCATTTGTTTTTCTATCTGATTCAAGCGAGTCGGACTGCTCATAACACTGGTCGAGCATGAAAATAACAAAAATTTGAACTTTTTCATGGCCGGTTTAAGATTTATTGTTAGTGCATCGTTGTTTTTCGCAAAGGACTAATTTTACAGATTTTGCCTCCACACTTTTTAAATGCAAACAGTTCTTACATACGGCTGTCCATTGTGCCGTGTTTTGTGTCTTCATCTATAAATCGGTAACGATCAGCGACCAAAGAGCTCACCCGTACATGTCAAGCATATATACGCCGCGGGGAGAGTCCGTTGTTAGTAGGAAGTGCCGGGCGTAGTGTCGGTGTTGTGTTTGTGTATGTGTCGCAGCTGTGTCCTACGTTGTGCTCGTGTTGTCTGTGATGTATGAGAGTAGTAGTCTACGCGTGATAGTTCCCAGCGTATTAACCGACTCCTGCTTTTTTTTCATTGGTTGCTAGAAATCGCACTAGGTGGCGCAAGTTACCGCCCGATTACAAGAGTTTGCTTGAGCTATTTATCCATGTAAGTTCAATATTCGTTTTTTTATTTTTTGTTTTTGTTTTTGTCTTTGTCTAGCGGTTTTGTCGTAGCTGCCGACGCCACCGACCGCCGACGATGCACGTAGGTACCTTTGCACGTAGCTACGTCCGCCGCTCGGAGACTGTTTACTGTGCATAAAAGACATCGAACGAGAACGAACGCGTCCTGTATGCTTTCAGTTCGGCTGAAAGGCGCGGCTGGCTGGGCTCGTCCCTCGCCTGTTCTCGGCTGCTGGCCGCCATGTTTCATAAGGAACACGTTGAACCGTGCTTCTCGGAAGGCAAACACGGTGTAGCGTGTTAACTTTACACAGCACCTCATGTGTAGACGAAAAACACAGATGGCTCCGTGTAAAACGAACACGTTTCGACGTGTCCGCTATGGGACAACGGTTTACACGTCTGGGCGTGTTATTTTTGCTAACAGTGTAGTGAACAGGCGAAGGAAGGAAGGCGCAGAAGAATCCAGTTTTCTTTTAAAAACTCTATAGCAAACAATTTTTTTTTGGCTCCCTACTTTTGTGTTTTTGTGTTTCTTTTCATACCTTTTACGACGTGCGGTGGATGAAACTCGATTTTAAAATCATTTCATGGTCCCTTTAAGGAACGACTTGCACCTTCCTCGATGCAGTCGTTCCGCCACTGTGCAGGGGTTCCGACCTTCTAATGGTCGGCGCGGGACGTCCGGAAGGGGTCTATTGGGTTGACTAGTGTTTGCAGACCGTCTTTTGCGTGATGATTGAGCGCTGTGACCCCGGCTGAATTCTGCATTCACGCCGGCATTCGATATTGCAACCTCGACGCGAATCCGCTCGTTTTCATCATCGAACGCTTCCTACGAGTGGCGACATTCTTTGATGCGCCGACTGCGTGACGGTGCAGGTTTTAGGAAGCGGAGGCGAATGGCGCCGCGCAACAAAGGTCTGAACTGAATGACGCCATTTTGTTCCAGCGGAATGGGATTGGTCATTTCTATTGGATGTCCTTACTTATAAAAGCAGTATCAAGGGCCTTTACAGTGAACATCCGAGCGGCCGTAACCGCTTCGCGATCGCGGTTCAACCGTCTGTGTGAATGAGGCGCAAGTCTGACACGCAGCCCATGCTGCAGGACTCCATAAAGCCAATCAAAGCAGAGCCCGAAAATTACACTGTCACGACGCTGGTCGTCCTTGCGTCTCAGCTGTTACCGGCTATAAACCAATCAATCGGAGCGTAGGCGCCGTGACTCTGCGCTTTTAACGCCGAATGTGTTTTATGGATCGCTTTCTACGATGTAACCGTCACGAAAGACCGTCACGAACAAGCGACACGCCGGAAGCTTTACGTAATTATTTTTTTAAGGCAACCCAGTTTTTTTAATAAATTTGCCGGGAAAAAAAATAAAAAAGAATTCGTAAAACAATTTAAAACAAGGAACATTATAATAAAAATACGTGCCTTTTTAGGGTTTGTGCAGGGCACAGTATGCGCCCCTCGTCTATGTCCGAACGATAAATCTAGCGTTATATTTCATCTGCGTGATTGGTTGGGCCGCCGACTGCAAACGCACAAAAGCGAGCAGCGCAATGAGGCCGCTATTTTGGAGCAGCTTGATTGTGTAACGCTTAGATTAAAACAAAGTATAGCAAACAAAACAAAAAGGAACCTTATTTTAAACGCATGTTAACCCAATATTTCGCCCAAACAATCCGGCCGTACGTTTAGCTATCAACGTTGTTACTCTCGGGGTTCATACTTTTGTGGCAATCGTGGTCGGGTTATCGTATCCGTAGAACTCGAAACTGACGACGCTGTACAAAGCCATTGCCGTAGGGTCGAGCACTGCAGACGACGTGTTGCACATATCCTAGAAAGAAAAATGCGTAGCAGTTAGTATTAACGCATTACGAACGCATAGCTCGAGCAAGGACTGCTCCGTGCAAACTAATTGTTAATCGTCCTACTTCTCAAAAGCGATTGGCATGCCAGCCCGCACGGGCATGAAGTATTTTTTTTTGTATTATTTTTGGAAGGCACAAAATTCAAGAAAGAGTACTTAGAATATCTAAAGCTAGTTTTCTCGGAATAAATTTTACAGTTCCAGAGTACGTTAGGTGGCAGACACACACTTAGTGTACAAGCTACTAAACATAATATAATTTTCTTTTCTTAAAGTTTTGTCTTAGCTAGCAGGACCATGCCAGCCAGTGATTTGTAAAGGCCCTGACCAACGGTTGCGTTTGAGAGCGTTTGAGTGCGTTTGACTGCGTTGCGGCTGCGAGAAACCGGAACATCTCTGCTACATATGTCGCGTGCCAAGCTACTCCTTGAGTTGGATTCCGCGCTTCGTGCGAAGCACAGATGTGCGGGTGACTTGCTCCCGTTCCTTGACGCTGCACAGTCAAACGAACTCAAACGCAAATGTGCGTTTGGGCGTTAACACGCATTTAAAATACTTAGTTCATGGGAGGCAAGCTGCTACAGATAAATCAGTAGCTCACTTTTTGTACGGGCACAGAGGAAAGATTATTTACTAGGTCTCCTGGTTTTCCCAACAGTGCACCGTCCGACCCTTTGAAAACACTCGCAGTGAGCATGGCGCAAAACTTGAAGTTGCTCACATCTCCGCTAAGACTTGCTAAATATTTGTCCTGAAAGTGAAAGTGCGTGCCTTCAGAGCAAGAGATGACAGAAAAGAGACGGGGGGGGGGGGGGGGCTCTCTTCCCTTTTCTCCTATACACACACACCCAGCGAACGGAGTCAACAACTATACTGCAACACAAACACATACGCACACAGTAAAATCGCAACGTCACGCGCTGAACTGGATCGCGCTGAACTGGATCAGCTGGCGCAGACATATGCATGAGAACACAAAGAATGCCGTCATCCAACGCTTCCCAAGAAGGTTGATTGGGTTCATGTCTTCCTGACATTGCTCGCGCACAGGCTTGAGATGAAACGAAGGATAGTAACGATTCCGGGAAAGGGGATACGTGCTCGAATCTGGTTCATGCTAAAAACGCATCAATAAGAAAAAAAGTTTTACGTTTTATTTTTTGGTTAAAAATAAACACTTCAAACGCTAAGGTTTAGCGGTACGCAATATCCTCCATTTGCATTGCAAACTGTTAATTGACGGCACGGTGTAATGGATCAGAAATGAAATGTTTCCAGTACCAGATCATCTTTCGGGTTGGGAAGCGTGGCTACTTTTGGAGTTATATTTTCGGCCTCGAGCGGCGTAACTGGCATAACGAGAAAGGTTGCATTCTGTATTCTGAAATGAAAGAGAAAATTATAAACTTTGTTGCAGGTCAGACGGTTCGCTCGCTTACCAGCGCTGCGTGGAATGACGCTGCACCTCGGCAATTCTAACGCGTGTATATGTACAGTAATGAGGCGGGAAGGTGTTTCGTATGTTTATCAAGACGACCTTCTCAATTCAAAAGTAATCGAAAGCACGCGAGCAAAATCAGTTCCGCTGAAGGTTAGATTTCCTTGAAAGTCATATTTGGTTGCCGGACAAAATGATGCAAAATCGATAGATTGATCGGAGTTTCACGGCGCGAGAGCTGAGAGGACCAAAATGTACCAAGTAGTTCGACTATTGCTAGAAACGTAAGGAGAGACATGTATAATATAGCTGCTGGTGTAATAAGGCCATGAGAATTACCGGAAGTTTCGCACATACATAAAATGCGCGATTATTTAGAGCGTTTATGGTGGAAAAGCAGCCTGACCATACTGTTCCAAGAACTGAATCGAGTTGTCTACAATAAAAGGAACGGACTTAGTAAAAAAAAAAAGAAGAATGAGAACGGCAGTGTGTCTCTCGCTTTCGCTCGTTGCTTTTCGTCGTGCTTTGACAGTACCTGCACACGCGAGGCCCATGAGACGCCAAAGCGTTATCTAACTGGAACTCGTCCCTGCCGTTCTCATCCTGGCAGTGACTATACGGAGAGAATCAAAGGGAGAGGAGGAGAGGAGAGCGCGAGGAGACATCCGAGCGCCAAGCTCTGAGACGAAGGACTAGTGGGTAGATGCAAAGGTTGGCTGCCTTCGTCTCTACTCACAGTTCGAACGCGTTCGAACGCCGAACGCTGGCGTCCGGAGTTCGAACGTGAGGCACTGCGCGAGCTGCAGACGACGCTCTTTTTGTTCGCTCTGATAGAACCGAGGTAAAGGTATATAGAGACAAATGCAGCTAGCTTTTCTCCTAATGATTCCCATTGGGCCTCGGCGATCTGACCTCCCCGCCCGCTTTCATCTCCTCCTCTCCTCCAGTTTCTGCTCGCATATCTTGAAACTGGCGCTGGATATCTTTCAAAGTTGTCATATTGTGATCCTATCATATTGTCATATTGTGACCCCTGCTTGCCGCTTATTACAATTTACGCGCTCCGCAAAGTAAAAAAAGAAAAAACGCTAGAATAGGCTAAAGGCACTTAAAAATGGCTGCGGTTTATAATAGCCGATTCACACGACGGACCGAATCGCGATTTTCCTCCGCGGACCGTGTACCACGTGACCGGCACGTCACCGCTTCCTGCGATCCGCGCCTCGTCCGCGGGGGCGCGGACTGATAAAATCGAGCGCCTTTTTCACTCGCGGACGTTTGGCGGCAGATTGACTTGGAAAGCGTTTAGTCTGGCAACGGTACATTGTTTTCTTGTTTTTTTTTGCTTCTGGGCGTTCAAAACAAAATGGCGCATCGTTGTGTTTTGTGCGTTGTTGGTTCATTTTGACGCGCGATTCTTGGTTCCACGAGTGAAAGAAACTCCAGAAACTTGTCTGGCTGACGCGATGCAGGTTTCGGTACTCCTCCGGGTCCGTGTCAAGAAGCTCCCGTCAAAATTTGTCTAGCACGCCGCGGTAATTCTTGCACGTCCGATCAGGATTTCACCGAGCAAGACCTCTCTTGTAAGTTGTGAATGTGGTGTGCTTGAGTGTTGTGCACGAACGCGGAGTGCGTGAAGGCATCTCCAAACGCCCCTCCGCGAGCCCAGAACTTCGTCGCGTCTACGCCGAGGCTTTCTCGAGCAGGACCATGCCTGTCACTGTCATGCTTTGGGTTAGTAAAGTTAGTGGCGCTTGGTGCGAAGCCTGCCCCGGTGTTCTGTCTCGATCTGTGCGTAACAGCAGCGTACGATTCTCAATCGCGGTAACAAACGTCGATATCTCTCTTGGACAACGGTGCCACAGTGCGATGTTGGAGTTTCGCGGCACTGTGGGGTGGCGAGCTGGATCGGTCCATCCTCGCTGGCGTCTGCTCGTCGTCTCCCTCGTGTGGATGCGCTTGGGAGACGGATGAACCGCGGATATGTCATCACGTGATCAATCCGTCTGCGGATCAGTCCGTCGTGTGAATCGGCTTTAAAGCGAAAGCATTCCTACACACAGCGCATTCCTACAAGCAGTGCGCCACATCTTCCTACCGCACACGTCTCTCCGGCTGTGACATCACGCTCCCCCACAGCGCAGATGAGGCGAACCCCGCCGGCTCCGCGGCTTCCGCGGCGATGCATCCGCGTTCCTGTGCTTTTCGTTGCGTTTTATTTCTGAGGCGCGCCCGCTTTGGCCTTGAGCACCCCGGCGGCGTCTCATACGAAGCATGTGCGTTGCTGCGCTTTTTGGCCAATGGAAATTTGACTGCCGTTTCGCTGCTTCAAGCGGTTACAGAGAACGCCGGCTTCGCTCCATGGGACAGCTAATGCTTTCGCATTAAAATATATATGCGTGTGCAATTTTATTTTTGTTTGGAAAGCGTGATTAAACATAGATTGAATTATATACGGACGCAAAAATGTGAGAGCGGGAAAGAAAATACTATGGAACGTTGACGCCAATGCTGTTTATATACACCCGCCCAGCGCTTATCGTGCACTCGAGAAAAAAATGCCGACTCACTGGGGCTGTGGACGCGTACGCGGACATCTGATATTTCGCCCAAGAGGGATTCTGCGCGTGCTGAGAATGTGTGTTCAAAGCCCAGAAGACAACGATGGCAGGTTTGAGAGTGCGATTTCTGGAATGGTCTCTTCACTTTGCTTCACATTTAGTGCTACCGCAATATGAGGCTACGATCCAAAGGAAACCATTCAAACAGCGAAAAAAAAAAAAGGTATACATGTCGGTGGTGCTAATCATCGTTGTGGTTATGAACGGCTGAACCTATTGCGCATGGTGAATGCGCCCTGATTGTGTGCTTTTTTTGGAGCGTGCTTGGCTTAACTGCTCCAGCATTTAACTTGATATTGTCCCACGCAGTAAAATCAAAGCATATTAGTCACATTTCGTCATGTAAATATCGTCGCTAATGCGCCTTCTCAACTTTCGTTCAGGCAACGATAGTTGACTCTGGCCGTTGGCCAGAACCACAAAGGGGCGCCAAGTGTTTTTGAGTTTTCAACGGATGTTGAGCTCAACTGAGGTCACCAACTGACAATGTGGCGGGGTCCGCTGCACCGTCAAACGACGGCCGACGTTAGTTACGCCCTTTCTGTTTAGGAACGCGGGGGATGCATTTCGACCCCGGTGCAATATGAGACCCTGAGAAGTGGATTGTTGCCGACCAGTGCCCTCTCTTGTGGAGAGGTCGGGGTTCTTCAATATGAAGAAGTGGTGCTGTGAACTGTAAGAATGCAAGATTCTCCAAAGGCGGAGAGTTGACCGATATCCCCAGATAACATTCGATTCGTTAAGATCTCCCCTTCGGGAGTACCTCATATGTCGATGTCAACTCCGCAACGAAGCAAAAAAGGTGCTTGAATAAACGATGTTCTTTAGGGAAGGGGGGGGGGGGGGGGGGGGCGTTGTAATATTTGAGAAAACAGATGGGTTTCTTCGTAGGGGAGGAATAATAAGCACATGCCGCTAGATTATGTGAAAGTGCTGAAGAGATGTCCCGTGGTTCGTACTGGAGATCTCGCCGGATGTTTGTGGTGATTAGGGGGCCTCGTTGAGGTCGGCGTGTACAACTCGGTAGCCTGAGCATTTGCCGTGTGACGTGTTTCATGGAGAAGCAGAATCTGGAATTTGGAATCGAGATCAAAACGCCATTGTTGAAGGGGAGTACGATTGGTTTTGATGCTCCGGCAGTTCCATTGTATGACAAGGAATGCAGTATTTTTTACCATTACGGTGTCATGGTTAAGCGGGTGTGTGAGGGGGTGGTTGCGGAAGGGGGTAGCTGTGTTCTGTGGGTTCGGGATATCGAGATGTTTTAAAGGATTGCGACTGGGCCTCGATGGGCGTGGGTTTTAATGTGAGCGCTACTAAGGTCTTCTCTAAAGAAGTGACCACCTTCGTGAGGTCATCAATGCGGGAAACAAGGGGGTCGCCTATGCCTAAGATGTTGAACACCATGTTTTGCGGGTTCATCATTTGCGTTGGGTGAGTTCAGCGATATGTTGCTCACATGGGGCAAATCGTGCCTTGATAAATAGAAATTGTGTTCAATGCGTTGCTGATAACAGGGAAATCTATGAAAGGGGTAGGGAGGAGTAATGTGTGATGGAAAGGAGAACGGAGAGCAGGTGGTAGAGGGAGGGTACCTGCTAGCGTCGGCGGTGAGAGTGGCTTCGGGGGGTCTGCTGGCGGTGGCCTTGACGCCAGCGGCGACGATGAAGCCTCTGTTGTAAGATCTCTGGCTGGATGCGGTAGGGTGGCCGGTCGGAGAAGTGACCATGGGGCTGTATACTCGCTTGGTTGGTGTGCCTGTGGTTTGGGTGGTGGAGATCGACGTCCCCATTCTTCCGTATAGGGGAGGTTGGAATTTGGCTCGGGCGTCAATGTTTGATTTTGGATGGTTTGCTGTGGTTGCCCGAACTGTTGGTAAGGTGGGGGCGCCTCTTGGTTTGTGTGTGTCAATGAGCTGTGCTATGTGCGTCGGTACCGCCAGATTTCTATGAGAGTCTTGCATGGTAGACGATGACGACCGGGTGTGACTCTCGGCAGGGTTTTCTAGAGATGGAGTCGCTGTTCGTACGCTGCCTTGTTGCTGTCTTTGTCCATATTTTGTAGGACAAGACATGCCGAATGAAATGAGGGTTATTCACCGTCGCAATTGTAGCACCAAGGGGTGCATGGATGAGGAACTTGCTGCTGTTGTGGTAAAGCGGCGCACGTGAAGCATTGCAAAAAAAAAAAAAGTCGGCGCCTTGGGGCAATCGGGGGCACAGTGCCCGTAGGCTCCGCAGCGTTCGCATTATGGATTTTGGTTTGTGAGGGTGACACCTAGCATGCTACTCGTCGGAAGAGGACGGTGTAAGGAACAG